AAAATATAGAATAATACTCTGGAAGCTAATAATAACTCTTTGAAACATTGTAAACAGTAGTGATTTGGAAATTATGAGTATATTCCTTTCAATGCAACTTACTCAAATTCAAACAGATTTCTTGTGATGTTAGTAATAGAAAGTGACCTGAGAGAATGGATAAATGCATTAATCCAACAGAAAACAAGCCATCTTTGTGCCACGATCCCTCTTTGATCATCGGCGAGTAATCACATAAACTAGATTCTGCTGTTGTCAATGCGGTCCTCTTCCAGAAGTTACTGACTTTAATTTCTCAGCTAAAGGAAAGTTAATTTCATGATGATCTTTAAAAATGATTTAACCACTTATGTTAAACGAATTTACAAATAACAACAACTACCTAATTAACATTTTTTAAAATAACGCCCAAATACCAAAGATAAATACGTATTTAATATAATGACTCATAATGAAATAATACATATTTCAATACATAAATGCTCCAGCACTAATGGAGAATCACTATGAATGTGTTAGCTACAATTGCAGACTTGTGTATTTCATTGTTGACTCAAGATACTGTCACGATGGGGTTTCCTGAAGAAAAGATTCTGAAATGGAGATTGGCGTGCAAGAAGTTTATAAGCAAATACCTACGGAGGAGAGAGAAAAGGCAGGGTTGGGACAATTGTACTGAGATGTCACAATAAAGGCCTCAGTCAATCTAATGGGGAGCTCTAGAGCTAGGATAACTCTTTCTAGCCCTGCAACAACTAACTAGTCAGTAGAGGCAGGATGCCCCTAACAGGGGAGTGGCCTTGGACAAGGCAGCTCTCACTGGTTGAGGTCAATCCCTACAGAGAGACCCGGCTGAGATCTCAGACACCAACACTGCCAGAAGCTGAGGAATGAATAGTTCAGTCCCAAAGCGGGCAGACCCGAGCAGTACTCCACATTATCCGCTACAGTGCTTCCCTGTGTTGATTGGATCCACTTGCTTTTTTTTTTTTTTTTTTGGCGGTACGCGGGCCTCTCACCGCTGTGGCCTCTCCCGTTGCGGAGCACAAGCTCCGGACACGCAGGCTCAGCGGCCACGGCTCACGGGCCCAGCCGCTCCGCGGCACGTGGGATCTTCCCGGACTGGGGCACGAACCCGTGTCCCCTGCACCGGCAGGTGGACCCCCAACCACTGCGCCACCAGGGAAGCCCCCACTTGCTTTTTATGGCACATCCTGGGAGAGGATCCTCTGGGAGTCTGGGGCATTTCTTTCCCTGAAGAAAGGCTAACTGAACAACTTACAGCCCCACTGCTACAGCTGGTCTCAAGGCCACAGTAATACTTATCATCTCTCTTCTAGATTCCCTAACAGTACTCCTCGAAACTTCAAGGTCATCAAAAGCAAGGAAAGTCTGAGAAACTGTCACAGCCAAGAGGAGCCTAAGAGAACATGATGACTATATCCAATACAGTGACCCGGACAGGATCCTGCAACAGAAAAAGACATTAGGTAAAAACTAAGGTATTGGAATAAACTATGGACTTTAGTTAATAATAATGCATCAATAGTGGTTCATTAGATGTGACAAATGTACCATTCTACGGTTTGATGTTAATAATAGAAACTTGATATGAGGCATATGGGAATGCTCTGTACAACCTTTGGAACTTTTCTGTAAATCTAAGACTATTCTAAAATTAAGAGTTTATATTAAAAATAACAGGGAAAAAGTAGATTGTTGCTAGACTTTGCACTCTTGCCTTTGTGAGTCTGACAAAAACCCAACTCGTGATAAGCAGTTTTTCAAGTAATGTGTAATTATCCCTTGCAAATGGCATGGCCTTCCTCCAGAACCCGAGGAGTCTGTGTTGTCATTCTCCTACTGAGTTTTCCATAAATTTCACATAGCAGCTTTTCTTATCACTGACTTTTAATACTAAGGAGTCTGCAGGGTCCTATGATACAAGTGTCAAGCCACTTGGCCATAGCCTGGACCTGCTTTGGAGCCCTTTCTTGCCCTGGACCTCATTCAGAGCTGGCAGCTTTCCATGTCACCCAGTTAAATAGGATGGAGCAGTATTTCTAGGTGACAACATAAAGAAGCCTCCCAAGCATTCTGCTGGCTCCGCAGAGGTGGGAGGTGTAAGATGAAATAACTCAACCTTTCCTTTGAGGGGATGTTTCAGCATGCCACAGACCAATGGACCCCTGAAAACTTCACCGAAATGACAGGCCCCTGAGACTCTGTAGAATTTCTCTCATCCTTTGAAGTGCATGTCTTTCCTTAAGGTGTCCAATGCATTTGCCACTTGGTACTCATCGGATCTAAGGTTACCGATATAGCAGTAACCGATGTGATATCCTGCAGAGTCCACATGGTCCAGATCCTTTGGGGCTATAACAGACGGCAGGAGAGTTTAGATAGCTCTGGAGCAATACCGTAAATGTATACTGTTGTCCATCTCAAGTGAATGCAAACACTTTCTGACCGACTTTCTGATGGGTATGGAAAGAACGCATTTGCCACATTAACAGTCACATTGTAGCTGAGGCTTGTTACTTTATTCTCACAAAGATCCCATCTCTAGCTCAGCAGCTGCAATTAGGGCTACTGCTTGGTTGAATTTTCAATAATTCACTTCCATTCTCCAGTGTCCATCTAGTTTTAGGGCCAGAGTGGTGAATTAAATGGAATTATAATCAGGACCAACACTCCTGCATCCTTTAGGTCTTTAAGGGTACTAATCTCTGTCATCCTTCTGGAGTGCAATATTGATTTTGGTTTACTGTCTTGGCCAGGGGGTGAAGCAGTTTCAGAGCCTTTCACTTAGTTTTCTCATTAAGATGGTTTTTAACCCACAGGCCAAAAAATGAATGTTGGTTCTGCCGAGTCCCAAGTATGCTCAGCCCAATAATTCTTTCTGGAACTGGGAAGGTGACCACTGGGTAGATCCATGAACTCAATGGACCTACTGTGAGTTAGAACTGGGGTAGGACTCCATTTATTATTTGAATTCCATGTACCCTCCTTCTAAATGGCACACTGTAATGATACTCTTGTCCTTGGGTATCAATGTCAACTTGGATCTTGTGTCCCATGTCCTCAGAGTGTTTGTGTATACTCCTTTCCCCAGTGTAAAGTTATCTCAGCAAATGACCATAGGTCCTTTAGAGGCAGGACTAGGGGAAGCAGTGCCATATACATTTGCAGTGGTGTTTCAAAGTCTTCCTTCTTGGGGACCTAGTCTTTCCTTTAGTCGGTAGTTTCTGGGTCTAGAAAATAGCCAAGGTCTGGAAACTTGGCAAGAGATCATAACTACTTATTATGTGGCTGTGGCTGTGTCCTACCTATCTCCTGATCCTCCATCCTTGAGATCTTTCGATGATACGGCTTGAGCAATACTCTTATTGGCTACCTATCTATTTTGCCCCTAGGGATGCCACGATCCATCAGCCATCTCCAAATCTCTCTGCAGGTAACCCTCAGATCTGGTCATTTCTTATGATAATTGTGTCCACTTGTCTCCTGACAGTGAAGCATTGCCACTGGGCCCCTATTCTGCCATCCCCATTGCTACCAGTGAGCCCACTTCTGGAACACCCTCTGGCCTACAGGGATACTACTGAGTTTTCAGTGATGCTGGTGACTCCTCACCAAAGCATTCTTTATCACTTTGGCCAGTGTGTCCACTGTGCCTTACTGGGGCCTCCTTTAAGAAAACATAAATACTTTATTATTTGTTGCAATAACATTCATGGAATAGGAAATCAGGTGTTCTGTCTGCTAATTACAGGGTTTTCCCCCTGGTGCACACTAAAATAAGTAACTATTAATATAAAATTTTCCATCCATCTACCACCTGAAACTGCCCTGCAGACACACATGAACCTTTGGATCTCAGTTGTGCTGAGCACCTTGTGACCTGAAGTGGTCATGTCAGTCACCCTCAAGCCTCTCTCATGTACTCTTCAATGGATTTGAGCACAGATCTGCCCCTTGACTAGCTTTAGAATGATGGGAGGTCCTTCAGCCCATCTATCTCTCAGCCTCTTTACCCTTTAATTTAAAGGAATTATGGAAAGAATATCTGTTCCTTCTTAATTCTCAGAAATATGACACACATTCAGCTGAAAAGTAAACACAGAAACCTTTTAATCCTTTGCAAGGCAAATTTCCTGGATAATTCCATGAGTTTTTATAATCATAGAGACAATTTTATCCTTACTTATTCATTACCAAAAATAAAGACTATGGTTATAATGTATTCTCCATAGATGCAAACAATCTCATCTATTTTGACACCAAAAAAAGGCAGAAAGACAAAATACAAATTCCAAGGACAAGGATGAAAACAATATGATTTTCAAAGTTTTTTATTTGTTTTGGTTTATTGTTTGTTTTTGTTTGTCTCACTGTTTGTATGTTTATCTTGCAAGAGCCTATAGATGTGAGGGAACATATCTGCAGGCTAATTTTAAACAACATGAGAGAGGTACTAAGTACTAAATAAAACAAAATAGAAAATGTCTTTTTTATTTTAAAAAATAAAACTTTTAGTTTACTTATTAAACTAGGAAGAATATTCCTGAAACATGTGAGTTAAATCGGTCTGCAAAGCATTCATAAATGGAGAACATGTATCTCCTCTAACAAATATTTTAAACATTGTGTTCACTACCAAAAGAGCTAATCAGGGTAGGGAAATTGTGAGGTCACAATCCCCCGCACAGACTAAATACAAGTTACTTTTTAACTTGAAGTCAGAAAAGTAAAACCTGTAAAAGTAAAAATATTGCCATTGTTCTCAGCAGTCTACTGACAAATACGACAAGCTCTCAAAGTCTTTTCAATAAAATGAACCCTGATTTCATGGCAAGCTCCTTGCTTAGGTGGCAATTACCGTTTTGTGTGTGTGTGTGTGTGGTACGCGGGCCTCTCACTGCTGTGGCCTCTCCCGTTGCGGAGCACAGGCTCCGGACGCGCAGGCTCAGCGGCCATGGCTCACAGGCCCAGCCGCTCCGCGGTATGTGGGATCTTCCCGGACTGGGGCACGAACCCGTGTCCCCTGCATCGGCAGGCGGACTCTCAACCACTGCGCCACCAGGGAAGCCCGGCAATTAACTTTTGAAACTGGGCTGCTCAATCTGTGGATAGACGCAAACTGTATTGACAGAATTGCTCCACTTTGAAAATCATCTTCAGGATGGAAGAAAGTCCAGCAGTGACCTTCTTCAATGCAACACTGCCTGAAGAGTTGCTACTGCTGCTGCTGGTGCCTCGCGGGGCTAAGCCCCAGGCTGGCAGGGTGAGCACTGACCCCAGTGCACTGTGACCACAGGCTCTCCGTGCCCACTCTGGGTCCTGGAGCTGAGGCCACGCTGCATGAGAGGTCCCTGGGCAGGTGCAACTCTCAATCAACAAGCTGGAAACAGGTTAAAGAGAAGAGAAGACAGTAAAGGTCAAATAGATGCTATCCCAGATAAAATATCAAGGGCTTGTGGACTAGAGCTGGACAATACGTAAAAATGAGGTAACCAGATATCAATAACGTTGAGAATTCCAGATGCTTGTACCACAGCTGAAGACACAGCTTTTCACATGTAGCTGCCGCAAGTTCTGCTTGGGAGCGTTCTATTTAGGATTCACTTCTGAGCGGCACTCCTAGATAGTCCTCTTATTTGGTACATCTAAACTTCTGAATAATCTCAAAATGATGCCTCCAACACCTCCAAGGTTCTGTAGGTGCTTCCAAATCAAAGAAAGGTCTTGTCACGCCTGGTATTATTTTGGTGTTAGCCTATATTATATAACAATTATTTAAAAATTGGTAATCCATATTTGGGCTCAATGATAGCTCTATTAATCTTATTTTATTAACTAGAACATCCTATTCTCCCAACAGGATTAGTGGCTAGAGCTTATTGTACAGCCAAAACCAAAATGGGGGCAATGGGTTCTTGGAATCTAATCACCCATGATGAAATAGCCCACTGACCAACTCTCTGATGCAAGATCACCAGGGCGTTTCAACACAGCCTCAACTTTCATATAGTCAAGTCCTCGTGATGAGCAGACATCCAAACGCTTAGACTTTTGTAGGACTCAGAATCCTTTTTCTCTTAGCTAGCCTCTTCTTGCCCATTTTCTTTTACACGCATCTGTCCAACTTTGGTAGGCTGTTGAGTTCCAGTAAGAGAAATCCCATTCTGCCTCGTAGCCTCTCCCTTAGGGACTTGGAAAGGGAAGGTAGTGCAGTCCTTTCTGGCCATCTGCCTGGCATGGGACCCCAGGCTTCTTGGGGTACGTCTGACTGGCAACTTTAAAGAATTCTTCCGCAGCATCGAGTGCAATGAGACGGTCCTGCCAAAAAAATTAAAAATACAATTGTTGTCAAGATGGGAACCAAGCCGTGTTCGTGGGAAAACCAATCTAAAAACTACACTATCCATCCTAGAAATAATGATGAGTGAGTAAAACATTTATTAAATTTTTCCCAAAAAATTGAGAGACACTCCTTAGCCCTTACTTACATTATCCAAGAAACATTCCACTGCTCTTAACGTCCTTTCAAATCATTTTTCAATCTTAGGTTATACACACAATATTTCTCACATCTCTTTGACCTAGAAATGATTCAAAAAGCTGACTGCACAGCTAAATTGGCTGAAAAATACAGATAGATTCTTGAGCCACAATGCAAGTCTCAGCCGGTCTAAGTGCAATCCAGAAACCTGAATTTTTAAAGCCCTCCAAGTGATTATGATGTGCTGGCCACTGGGTACCAATGCAAGATGCCAGAATCGTCTGCCATACCTCATACCATGGTGGAGCTGGTGGTGTGAGAATGCTGAGAATATGGACTAATAGAGAAGCAAAACTTTAGAGCAAAATCAGAGCAGGTGGAGAAAGACATCCACTTACCACAACAAAGAGGTATCTCTCCGAAAGCTCCCAACTGGTTGGGAAAATATTGGTCTCTTCAGCCAGTCTCAACAATATCTCCCGAGCTTCCCTTGTGTTTCTAGAATCACTGATGGTGCTGAGTTTTGTCACTGACAACAAAGAGTCTACTTCCTTTTGAAAACCTAAGGTAAAGAGATTGAACCCTCACGTTAATTAGTCATAAGGAAATGATGGTCCTGCAGGAGATTAAGGGACCCAACAGTGGATGAGAAATATGAGAAAACAGAAGCCCAAGGCACCACTGCCTGTGCTGCTTCCCACCACAGTGGGGTTGGTGGGGTCCTTAATTAAAATTCCCTTGCGATTTCTTCTTACCAGATTTTCTTTGTTAACTTTTTCCTCCGAGTTAAGCCTCGGATACTCATCCACTGACTGCCTGCTGCCCCTTTTCTTGGTTTGGAAACCCTTCTCCCACTCCCCACTCTTCACCTCCTCCCCTGTTTCCTGAATTCCTACTTCCCCTGATACCTGCACAATGGTCACCTTCAGGCCCTACTTCTCCAAGCCCAGATTCCCTTCCCCGGGGCAATATGGCTGACTGGTTAAATTACTTACTGCAAAGGTCTAAAAGACTCATAGATTTACCCTTCCTGGGATAACTTACATCATAAAGAGGAGACTATGAAGTCAGAACAATACTGGGTGAGTAAAGAGGGAGAGTTCCACCCCACCCCATCATATCCCAACTAAAGCAACAGCGGCTAGCAACTTGGTACCCCACTTTTGAAAGGTTATGATGCCAAGGTGTCATGTTCTCTTTCAAAGCAGAACGACTGAGGACTTCAAAATTGATAAATTCATTATTCTAAAACATGAAAACAAGCTTACTTTGTAATGTGAGGACCATGTTTATTGTATCACAACCCTGGCAGATTTAAGAAAAATCAATACCCAATATCTACTCTAATACCACAGGTATTTTGCTGTCTCTCTTACAAATAATATTTCTCCCAATCTGCCTTACCTTATAAAGCTATGATTAACTGGCCAATCACTCCCACATAATGCAATCAATGTACAATGCCCAAAAAGTCAATGGTGGTGCCCATATGATTCCACTGCCCTGTGCTACTTGATACTGAGGACAGATGGAGTAACACATGGCAAAATATGTCCTCAAGACAGGGTCTGTTGATAACAGAAACATCAGATGTTTATCTGACGACGGGATTGGGAAAATAATTAGTACACAGTAGCCTTAATCAGTCAGTTACTGACATTCCTGCCATAAAAACCATGCTGGAGAAAGTGAAGAGGAATGCTCACAACTGGATATTTTTACCATTTCATAATCACTTTCAGACTCACCTAAATCTTCTAAAATGCGTTTCCATCTATTTCTCACTTCCCTTCGAATCTGTCGCAGGGTGTAGATATCGTAGTTGAGTTTTTGCCACTCCTGTAGGAAAATAAGAATTCAGTTTTATTTTTACATTTTGGCCTAAATCCCTAATTCCCAAAGTTAAGCTGTTTAAGCCTGTGGTTCTCCTCTTCACTAATCTTCAAAACAAATCCCAAAAGAACAGAAGGAGATGGGAAGATGACGTCAACAGGAATACATCAGCTCCATGTCTGGAGAATCTGTTGTATACCAGGTGATATGACACATTACATAAATTATCCTAATTAAACTCTTCACGTCACCTATTCTTTCAACTTCAGTGATAACACCTGTAAGGTAGGGATAACAAGAGTGAACATTCCATTTAAGATAGTTATAAAGATAAAAGGTATAAAAAAAACCTTTATATATAAAATACCTGCACACGGTGAGCACCTAATAAAATCTATGTATTACTGAAGCCATTTTATAGATAATGAAACTGAAGCCAGGAAAGGTTAACTGGTTAATCCAGTATCATCCAGCTAACGGGTATCAGAATTGGTGTTTGAATTCAGATCTCACTCCAAAGTTCATGAGAAGAATGACACACAGAGATTTCCCTGGCGGTCCGGTGGTTTAAAAATGGTCCACATCAAAAAAAAAAAAATCTTTAAAAAAAAAAAAAGAAAAATGACACACAAAGAATTTGTGTCTTTCTTTATTATCAGAATAAAGCAGACCTGAAGTAGATCCCAAGTTTCTTGACTTCCAGCCAGTTTCTTTCACCGTATCTCAGCATTGCTCTCATTCATTTATGTTCCCATTATAGGATGAATCTTGCAAGCATTCAGCAGAACTATTAAAAGATTATCATTCTGAAAACTTCAATCTTATGAGTAGTAGGTCCCCAAACAGAACTTGAACCTTTCAGGAGCATTAGAATCTTTACTGAGCTAGGCATTTGTTTTAAATGCCATGGAAATTTGTTTTCAAGGAGACTTCTCTATCGAGAAGGGTCATTTTATAGAGTATACCTTTTCCTCTTGGCAAGAGCATTAACCACACAAGTATCCTAATGCACAGCTTAAAAGAACATCATTCTAAATGCTCAATTTAAGACTCAAGTTATACGATATTCTGACTCCACTAACCGGAAATGTTTCAATGATGCCATTATTTCCCTACCAAGTTCCTTTCAAGGCTTGCCTCGCTCATCCCTAATCAACTGTCATGACTGGTTAAGAGAAATCAATTTAGCTGCCATTCCCAAACATTTATAGATACCACTTTGAGAAAGAAAAGCTAGCAAAATAAAGCGCGTTTTGTTATGATTGCATTTTAGATCTTGGATCTGAAGATACAAAGGCATCAAAAAGTCATGGATTTCACAAGACTATAATTCAAAAAGATATATGCACCCCTATGTTCATAGCAGCACTATACACAATAGCCAAGACGTGGAAACAACATAAACGTCCATCAGCAGATGACTGGATAAAGAGGATGTGGTACATATATACAATGGAATACTCCTCAGCCATAAAAAGAATGAAATAATGCCATTTGCAGCAACATGGATGAACCTAGAGATTATCACACTAGTGAAATAAGTCAGAAAGACAAATACCATATGATATCACTTATATGTGGAATCTAAAATATGACACAAATGAACCTACCTATGAAACAGAAACAGACTCACAGACAGAGAACAGACTTGTGATTACCAAGGGGGAGGGGAGAAGGAGGAGGGAAGGATTGGGAGTTTGGGATTAGCAAATGCAAACTATTACATATAGAATGGATAAACAACAAGGTCCTACTGTAGAGCACAGGGAACTATATTCAATACCCTGTGATAAACCAAAATGGTAAAGAATATGAAAAAGAATGTATATATATGTATAAATGAATCACTTTGCTGTACAGCAGAAATTAACACAACATTGTAAATCAACTATACCTCAATAAAATGAATTTTTTATAAAAAGGTCATGGATTTCAGCAATTTTCTAGAAATCAGGAAGTGGTGAATCTGAGTACTCTCTCCTGGTCCTCTGTTTCTGACCAAAGGTGTGTATACACATGTGTTTGCATAAGCGTGCAGTGGCTGGGGTCAGGGATGAAGCCTGTGACACTGGAAGGCAACGCTGACTGCGTCATCTCAGAAATATGCAATCCTGACCTCATCTTCAGCACCATGTTAGAGCACTCCTACCTAATGCCCCACGGACTGTGTAAGTATTCAATACAGTATTGCCATTTTCATTGGATGGGTCGTTCAGTATATACAGCATTTTGGAAAAGAGCATGGGTGTTAGAGCCAGACTTCCCAGGTTTGAATCCCAGCTCCATTATTTATTAACAGCCTAACTTCGGGCAAGTTCATAACCTCACTGTGCGTCAGTGGCCTCATCTGTAATATGGAGATAGTAATACTACCTACCTCTCAGGCTTATCGTGAGGACCAAATGCTTTAATGCAAGCCCTGAAAATGGAGTTTGGTGCACATTCTCCTCCAAAGCAGTGTAGGCACAGTTAAGAAACAGTCTTCCAAGACTCAGGATGATTTCTATTATGAGGATTGAGGACACTATACATGACATTAGGCAGTACCTCATTTGTGAGGACCTCCAGAAGAAAATTTTCTCTGCTCTTGACATTAGGTAGGATTTCACTTTTCCTAAAAAATGCTTCCCTGTTCTGAACATTGTGAATTTTATAACTGATCAGTTTCCACGCTTATCTGAAAATGTCGAGTCCTTTCATGGAAAACATATAGGATTTTGAAAGCATTTTTGAATTATCAAAATTTTTACTACTTTTTATATCTTTATGTTTTTTCTCTTTTCTCATCTACTTCTAGTTTGTGCCCTCATTGTATTTTCATGTACGTTACCTTAAGTCCTTTTTGATTAAAAAAAAAGACTATAGGGCTTCCCTGGTGGCGCAGTGGTTGGAAGTCCACCTGCCGATGCAGGGGACACCGGTTCGTGCCCCTGTCCGGGAAGATCCCGCATGCCGCGGAGCGGCTGGGCCCGTGAGCCATGGCCGCTGAGCCTGCGCGTCCGCAGCCTGTGCTCCGCAACGGGAGAGGCCACAACAGTGAGAGGCCCGCGTACCGCAGAAAAAAAAAAAAAAAAAAGACTATAAATAAAAGATTACACAGAGCAGCACTGTGCTTATTCTCAATGAAATTGACCCTCCTGGCTGGACTAAATGAAAAGTGACCAGGCTTCGACTCACACTTGATTAGAGACCCACACAGTCAATCCACAGATGAGATGCTTTACATATTCACACAACCTTAAATGATGTAACAAACCACTAGGTGGCTTCATTAACTTGCGATTAAAGGTCTCTGCTAATTTTTCTTTTAGCTCCTTAGGCTGATGCCTCAGAACTTCTGTCCTGAAGGAAGTGTAGCCAAATCTCTATTTTTCGGAGACCCATTCATCACTGGGTAATCCAGGCTTCAGACTTTTTTTTAAATCTTTCTTTTCTTGCTGTCCATCTATCAGTTATTTTGCTATTCCTAAACACTAACACGGAATGTTATACAAATCCATTCCGTTTCAGTGTCTGTTCCTCTGATAAACTGTTAGATGGTGAAGCAACGATGTAACATTTTAAAATCCGCTAAGGATGGATCCACACACGATGCACGTGATAAGTACCTGTTAGCATTAACAGAATGAAACGCTGCATTTCATAAATCCATATTATAACTGTCTTCTTTTGACAGAATAGTCATGGATAATCATATATGAAAGTATTTGAAAGTTCTGTGCAAAATTTAAAGCTCTAAAACCAGAAGAAGCTTGGGCAGAGTTTTAACTAAGTACTGGCTTTTGAAAAAAGAAATAAGAGGGGAATTTGAACTCCTCTTTAACATACGATCCCAAAGGACAGAATCTAAATGTAGCAAATGAGAAACGGTGATGAACAAAATCTTACCCACAACTAAAGAAACTCATTTATTCCCTGGTATTAGAGAAAAGCAAGTCTTATGATGTCCTTCTACATTTTAAAAATTGTACCAATTTTCTTTAGACAAACAATTTGAAAATAACAAGTTAAATATTCTTCACAAGTGACTTGATGCTCAAATCTATTAGACATCAAGAGTTAAACTCTTATTTTAAAAAAATCTTTGTTTGCTCATTATTTCTGAAGTAATACATTGTGGTCTTTGTGATGCTGTGGCCCGAAACTTTTAACAATGACTGCATTAGCAGAGGTGTAATAAAAGAAATCATGCAGATTTAATTTCATAAGGTACCTGAGAACCAAGTCAAACTGAAAAAATGTGATTGAAAACAAGTAACTGAAGACGCTTAGCTTAATTTTTGAGGTTTTTCTCCTCCCTAGTTGTTGGCCAAATCAGATCAGGGTTGCTAGATAAGAAGGATGAGGCCAAACATGAAAGGAGAACAAAGCTCAGCCTCCTGCCACCATCAGGAGCTCGGTCTCCTGCAGCTTTCCATCCCATGAGCTTGCCTTGACCTTGAGTTGGGATCATTTTCTCACGCATAAAATTAAAACATTTTATTCATACCTACACTGTGTTAGTGTGAGGTTGTGGAAACATAGCACAATCAAAAAGTACTCTTACTTCTTGTTAAAAAGGTGATTTATACATTTAAAGAAATGTACGCTAACAATAGGTGACATATATATATATATTTTGTTATATTCATATTTATGGTTTATTACAGTGAAAGCATACAGATTAAATTCAGTAAAGCCAAAAGGCACATAGAGTGGAGTCCAGGAGAGACCCAGGCACAGGCTTCCAGTTGTCTCTCCCATGGAGTCATATAGACAGTACTTAGTTTTCCTAGCAATGATGTGTAACAATAGGTGACATATATTTTAAAATCATCTTATACTCTTAGGAACAACTTCAAAAGAGATTAATTTATTTTTAATTATAAAAATAATATAGGGCTTCCCTGGTGGCGCAGTGGTTGAGAGTCCGCCTGCCGATGCAGGGGATACGGGTTCGTGACCCGGTCCGGGAAGATCCCACATGCCGCGGAGCGGCTGGGCCCGTGAGCCATGGCCGCTGAGCC